TTTTTATGGTTTCAGGACTCACATTTAGGTCTTTAATCCATTTCAAGTTAATTTTTGTGTGTGGTATAAGAAAGTGGTCCACTTTCATTCTTTTGCATGTCGCTGTCCAGTTTTCCCAACACCATTTATTGAAGAGACTGTCTTTTTCCCATTGCATACTATATTGTCTCTTCTGTCAAAGATTAATTGATCAAATAATTGTGAGTTTGCTTCTGGGCTTTCTATCCTGTACTATTGATCAATGTGTCTATTTTTTTTAAGATTTTATTTATTTGAGAGAAAGAGAGACAGCACGAGCAGGGGGATGGGAGGGCAGAGGGAGAGGGAGAAGCAGACTCCCCACTGAACAGAGAGCCCGACATGGGACTCCATCCCAGGACCCTGAAATCATGACCTGAGCTGAAGGCAGACACTCAACCAACTGAGCCACCCAGGTAACCCCGATGCGTCTATTTTTGTGCCAGTACCCCACCATTTTGACCATTACAGCTTTGCAATATAACTTAAAATCTGGAATTGTGATACCTCCAACTTTGTTTTTCTCTTTCAAGATTGTTTTGGCTATTTGGGGTCTTTTGTGGTTCCATACAAATTTTAGGATTATTTGTTCTAGTTCTGTGATAGGGATTGCATTATGTCTGTAGATTGCTTTGGGTAGTAGGGACATCTTAACAGTATTTGTTCTTACAATCCCCGAGCATGAAATATCTTTCCATTTGAATCGTCAATTTCTTTCATCAGCGTTTCATAGTTTTCAGACTACAGGTTTTTTTACCTCCTTGCTTAAGTTTCTTCCTAGGTATTTTATTATTTTTGGTCCAATTGTAAATGGGATTGCTTTCTTAACTTCTCTTTCTGTTGCTCATTATTGGTGTATAGGAATGCAACAGATTTCTGCACATTGATTTTGTATCCTTTGACCTTACTAAATTCATTTATCAGAGCTTTCCCCCTATGATCAGGAACAAGATAAGGATGTCCATTCTTGCCACTTTTATGCAACATAATACTGGATGTCCCAGCCACAGTAATTAGATAAGAAAAAGGAATAAAATGCATCCAAATTGGTGAGGAAGAAGTAAAACTTTCACCATTTGAAGATGACATACTATATATAGAAAACCCTATAGTTTGGGTTATTTTTAATCATGCAAGTGTCTGATATTCTTTTAAATCTCCCTTTTTAATGGATTAAACATTATTGGAATAGGGTGCCTGGGTGGCTCAGTCATTAAGCGGCTGCCTTCGGCTCAGGTCATGATCCCAGGGTCCTGGGATTGAGCCCCGCATCGGGCTCCCTGCTC